AATATTATATATTTTGAGAATTTCTTTGTCAAGCCAAAAATAGTTGAAATGCTCCCTTAGGGTTAAATGACATCTCTCTTGTCATTAGAACAATACAAAATGTTTAGATAGGGTGAAATCACGCGTCTCAAGTGCATCGATCGCTCCTTAGAGAGTGATTAAAATGTACTTTACTCGAGCGCTAAGCTTGGCAACATTTATGTCTCTTCATAGACTTCCTTTTCCGCTAATGACCAACATGTGGCTTGGAGTTGACCTCTGGACAAGCATGTCATTGGAGCTCCGTGCCAGAAAGTTGTTAAGATATTCGCTTGTCTCTTCTTGTCGGTAGACAATCCAGAGCTACGAGCAGTCATTGATGGCAACTGTCTTCGTTCTTGCGGTCGTGTTCAATCATCTGGATTTCTTGGACTGGCTTGCATGCCCATTGTCTGAATCGTCTCATCCTTTAGTGGGTTCTCTCTAGGCCCATCTATTTGGCCCCAAAACAACTATATATAATTTTACTGGATCTAAAATGACCATGCGTTAACAATTATCACATAAAATGTATTGTAAAAAATGAACCCCTGAATGAAGATCAAATCAACTAAAAACTGAACGATTATCAAATGTTCGATCACCACATCAAACCATGATTGTCATAAAAAACCATAATGAACATACTTTTCAAATGCCAAATTTGGTGGGAGGGCTTTTAGTTTGGGCTGCAAAATTCCGGGCCGAACTTTCAATGTTTCAGGTCCGATACATGAGGATAGTGGGCTTACAAACGAACTCGATCGAAACAAAACCACATCGCACTGGACCCAATTAGGGTCCGAAAGGGCAATTCAGTCAATCGAACCCTCATTCCCACCGAGTATTAATTGCCCGGATTCCACCTGACTCGCTCCCTCTTAAGCCCTACAAACCCTAGCTCTCTCGGAGGCGCCTCTGCAGATACTGCGCATCTCTTCTGGTACGTGATTTTTCAGTTCGAAACTTGATAATCTCCATCATTTTGTGAAATTATTACGGTTAGGGTTTTGCTTTTTGTCTCTTATTTGTTCAAGTTTAGTCCTTTTTAATTGTTCTTTAATTATTTTTGAGGTTGATTTCGGCAACTGGATCTGTTGGATCTTGCTTTTGTTAATTTGATTTCGAATACGTTTTGTTTTGGTGTGTTTAGATTGAAATGTTGTTAATTTTTTTGCCTAAGTAGGTCAAATGTTTGTTTTTTGCTTGATTATTGTGGGCATTTTGTGGGAATAAATATTTTTGGAATTGGGTTTAAGAAATTAGGGATTTTGAGCAACCTGTGATAATATATGAATGTAGATTGATATGTTTGATCGAGCTAGAAATGGGAAAAGGTATCGAACTGCCTTCGCGGGTTTTTATTTGCTTTTGTAACAAAATGCTTAGAGTGTAAGATTTGACAAGCGACTAGTTTTTGTATTATGTTTTTGTTTGGCGCATTTGAGCTTATTTACTTGAGTGCAATATCATGAACGTTTTGGATAATCTTTTCTGAAGTGCAGAAGCGACAATGGTGAGAGTTAGCGTTTTGAATGATGCTCTTAAGAGCATGTACAATGCTGAGAAAAGGGGCAAGCGCCAGGTCATGATCAGACCATCATCCAAGGTCATCATCAAGTTTCTTTTGGTGATGCAAAAGCATGGTACGTATCCATCAATTGATTACTCAAATGCCACATTTTTATCGTTTTCAGTTACTCTGTGAGTTTATATTTTTCTGGATATGGATATTAATGTTCTTGGTTTTGGTCTGTAGGATACATTGGTGAGTTTGAGTATGTTGATGATCACAGGGCTGGTAAAATTGTGGTCGAGCTGAATGGAAGGCTTAACAAGTGTGGGGTTATTAGCCCTCGTTTTGATGTTGGTGTTAAGGAGATTGAAGGATGGACTGCCAGGTTGCTTCCTTCTAGACAGGTTAGCCCATTGTTATCAGTTTGCTATTTCAAGCCTAGAAACAGGACAATTGTCTTAGTCGATTCTTCTGAGGAAACATGCATAGTTTAGATTCGGTAGCTCGTCTATATTTGGGAGAAAAAAAAAATATTAAAATGTTATGTGCAAGATAATACATGGTTGATCATGTCAATGGTGATTGCCTGAGTTTTTCCAGTCGGCTCCTGTTGTTATCAAACATTAAGCTTTCCTGTAATGTGCTTCACATACCATTAATCTAGACCTTTTGTGTTGATTGAACTTTTAATTCTGGTTTTCATTGAATGTTCCGCATTGTGTAGATTTCTTATACATTTAAGCTTACGAATTTTTGGTTGACCTTGCAGTTTGGATACATTGTGCTGACAACATCTGCTGGCATTATGGACCATGAGGAGGCTAGGAGAAAGAATGTCGGTGGTAAAGTGCTTGGTTTCTTTTACTAGGCCAAGGTTTATTTAAAGAATGAGATTTGAGTTTTCCTGCTTCTGAGGAGCTTTTGGGTGTACTTTTGAACATCGTAGGATACGTCTATGCTTCAATTTGTGTTTGTTTTGGATGCTGATAGAGGTTACTCAAACGTTATTCGTTTACTTTATCTTTAAGCTATTGGTGTTTATTTATCCATAATGCATCTGGTGCTGCCTCGGTCTTAAGTTATCTACTGCAATCCAAATTTTTGGCTTCGATCAATGAATACTTCTGAATGGTTTGTTCTTGTCTGACTATTGACGAGTGAAAGTCGATTTTGAACTTGACATGGTTCTGAAAATGTAACTTGAGCTTGCAGTTGCACATGTTGTTCCTAAACAGATGTCTGTTGGCCAGGAATCTTTGACTTAAGTGCGGTTCGATTGTATGCATGTCATTTTTTTCATGCTGCCGTCTAGTCCCCTGCCTCGATTCACTTGAGGAAAAAGATAGGAAGACTGTAGTAGTGAAACCTGGACAGGGAAGTTGAATATCCGACCCGTTTCTCTATCTGGTTTTCTTGTATGGCTCCATGTTGAGCGTCCCCGTTTAGGGAGCTGTCAATTTTTTCTCTTGGATCCGTTGACGGATTTATTTCTTTACCTTTGGTACATTTATTGATCATTGGATTAGTTTTTATTTTTTATAATTACATTAATATTTTTAAACTAGGGGGAGCGGGAGTTCGGTTAAGCCACACAATTGGCAGCCTAATTTGATATCTAATTCGTTATTCACGAAATTTGAACTTAAGACCTCTTATTTCCAAGCGAAAAGGAATACTATCAGATCGTAGTATTTAGAGGTCAAGATTATAGTTCCTTTAGGTTAACTTCTGAAGTCTCTATGCTTGTTTCTTTTCGGATAAAACCAAATTCAAATAGACGGTCAACCATAAGAAGTACGAACAAGTCTGAAGTGGCTAAGGAGAACATAATCTGACGTTGCCATTTTTCTTTAAAAAGAGAATCACCAAAACCATACAAATGGATTCGTACGTGCTTCTATGGTCCCCATGGGATTCGGATCCTCTCCTAAGCAGGAGATCAGGATCATCGGGATCAAACAACATGGGTCGTTGGATTTTAATCCAACGGTTATAATTATTATACCTTTTAGAGGGACCTCTTATTTGTAGCCGTTCGATCAAAATCCAACAGTCTATGTTGTTTGATGCCGAGGATCTTGATCTCCTGCTCAGGAGAGGATCCAAATCCGTCCCCATGGATCTACTAAATATCCCACAATAAAAATCATGCATGGCTAATGACGTAATGCCAACGGAATTGTTACTAGCGCTTTAGAATATTTGTCGTGCTCTTCACTTTTTTTTTTTAGATACATGGGTGAAGTGCAGAATGACTCTGTGAATATTCACTGAAAAAAGAGAAAAATGAGATGTATGAGAACACGAGAATACACATAAACCAGCAGGGGTTTTATTAGGAGAGAATAATGCCAATACTGAAGGACTCTCCCACCTTGACCTAGCAGTAGTGGAAGTGGCGGTGACAAAAGTAGTAGTGGGTTTTGAAGCATAATATATTAAAGTTAACAACACAAAGAGAAAGGAGACTGCCAAAGATCTGTAATTGCCCTAGTCACCATCAAAGCCAACCTACGTGGCTTTCAAATTTCAATTAGTTTCTTCGTCATCGTCCTCTGCATCATCGTCTTTGTTGGTAGTAGCAGCAATATGGTCACCACCAACTCGACCGCCACCAATGGTATCTCCGCCGCCACTCTCAACTTCCATTGGCAACGAGCGTCGAGGACGAAGAAGTGGATAGGATGATGCAGAAGCAAGAAGATGGATGATGATGATGATGCTCAAGAGCTCTTCATGTTGGAAAGGTGATGGGCGTGTCATGACGTTTTGTAGGGGAAGGGAAGGGAAGGGAATGTGGGTAGAGTATCTTCTCAGGAATCAGGATATGCTGCAACCACAACTTTTTGCGTTCCATTCCATTTGCCTTTTTCCTTACTTTCCAATTATTTTTTCATTTTTTTTAGTTGGCCTAAACTTCAAATATATGCAATCACTTGCAAATGTGTGTAAAGTTTCCTATATCTCTCTTTTATTATCGTACTAAAAACAAGGAGGATGTTGAAATGCCTGCAAGTTTTTCCAACTTCCGGAATGGATGAATAACCATGATTTGCCACCAGTTATCATTCTTTTTGAAAAAATAAAAAAGACCAAGACGTGGGTGGTTAGTAAGTTCATTACTTTTTAAAATATATTTTAATAAGAAAATTATTATTGATACTCAAGAAATCTCATTTTGCACTTCAAATTTTCTATAATTAGAAAGAAAAATACACTTATGAGAAGTGTAGAGTAAAATTTTTGAAGTGCTATACAGTTTCCTTTAATAAAATATATAAAAAAAAAATTCAATTGTCAGTTGCCACACGTGTACGAGTGTGACAAGAAGCTAGTATATTGTAATCTGTGTTGGTAGGGTATCTTTCGGCTTTCATAGGTTTTTAGGCCCAAACTATCTTGGGCTTTAAGGGCCTAACAAAGAATTATACAGAAGAAAAACCGGGAAAATATTCTGCGAAGGCGGGTGTAGGGAGATACGGTGCGTTCTCATACAGTAGAGAGAGTGACCCACGTATTATACAGACTGCCCAAAAACTCGAATTCCAGAAACCCGACGTCGCCTCCCAAATTCATTGGATCGTTTTCACGTCGCCGACGACCGCCCGCTACAAGCTTCTTTGAAAGGTTTCTCTCTCATCTCTCTCTCTCGCTGCGGTCTCCTGCAGTTTCTTATATTTTGATTTTTGTTGATTTTTTGGTTTGGAATTTGGGTTGCAGAGAGTGGTTTCGATTTGGAATTTGGGGTCGGTGAGAGAATCAATCAATTCATGGCTACTTTGCAACCGACGAGGGCTCGGGCGGATCACGATTATCTCATCAAGCTTCTCCTCATTGGCGACAGTGGTTAGTCGTCGTTTATCCTTCTCTGTTTGGTTCCTGAGAAAATTTTGGAATTGAGAATTGGAAGTTGGACATTCTCAGAACTAACGTGTTTTTCCTTTACTTTGGTATTTCTGGTGGCCAATGTGCTTTGCTTTTCATCCGAGTGAACAATTTTTTTCAATAAAAAAAGATAAAATCGTTATTTATGAACGTTTTTTTTGTTACAAAATAGTTGGTGTAGGGTAATATTTAGTTATGACAAGTTTTAAATTTTGAATGTGTGCAGTTTTTGGTAAATTTAGTGTTTAGGGACCTGTATGTGAGTGTAATTAGATGGGTTTGTTTGAAAGATTCAGTTTTGGGTTTGATGGAAGACGAGGAGAGTGAGTATAATCATATTTGTACGAATTTGTTTTATGTATCGAAAATGCGATGAGTAATATCTAACTCTTATGTGACTCAATATGCATCACAATATATGCTTGATAAAAAATAACTAGAGAGTGATCACAATTATGAAAAATTACCTTATGCGCATTGGACTGTCTTGTAGGGGTTAAAGAGCATTCAACCTCTTACCGTCATATTTGATATCAATTATTGGATAAAGGTCAAATACGAGCTCTGATGGGGCTCGTTGTTTTGGCGTCAGTTGAGATTATTGCTTTGGAGGATATGTTTTGAAATTGCGTTGAGATGGATAAGAATTTTTAGGATTTTTTTTTGTTTGGATGGTATCCTGGATCTTGTGCATTCCAAATGGTCTAATTGTGAACTATCAGGGATCTGGTGCTTTCATCTCTTTTTTTGAGAGATTTTCTTAGCTTCGGTTATCAACTTTTTGGTTCTAAAATGTTAAACATTTCTGCTGTAATTTTCCAGGTGTTGGCAAGAGTTGTCTGCTTTTGCGTTTCTCTGATGGCTCCTTTACAACAAGTTTTATCACCACTATTGGGTTTGTATTCGTAGAAACTGTTTCGATTTTTGTATCTGGAAACTTTTAGCAAGCGAACAAGTTTTATGAACCCATATATTAAGTCGGTTAGGACACGGTCATTAGCTACTGCTTAAAGCTGCTGTAGAAATATGGCATAATGAACTATTACATTAAGTGTGTTTTTTTAGTAGATTCATCTTTGTTTAGCATCTCTTAGATGGTCCTTTTGGTGACAGGATTGATTTCAAGATAAGAACAATCGAGCTTGATGGCAAACGGATTAAATTGCAAATCTGGGATACGGCTGGTCAAGAACGATTTCGAACAATTACAACAGGTTTTTGTTTGAGATTTTACAAATAGATAATTTGAAATAGGAAAAGGGCAGGGGTTCCTTTCTTAGAGATAATTTTGATATTCTTGAATTATGTCCTTTGTTATTGTTATTCAGGAGTTTCCTTACGTATCTATGTTATGCTCTGCAGCTTACTATCGAGGAGCCATGGGTATTTTGTTGGTGTATGATGTTACTGATGAGTCATCTTTCAACAGTAACCTCTTGTTTTCCCTTTACTCTCAGTATATGAATTTTTTGATGGCATGCTGATTTTAAAGTCATTTTGCTTGCTTATTTTTGTTATATTAAATCCAAATTTCAAGGAATTGGGATATAGACATTTTAACCATGTGGTTTATTTTGGGTGTGCTTACACTGGTGTAGTTCCTTCAGTTTGACCGTTCATTCTAATTTCATTGAGGTGGTGGATGGTTGAAACCGTCTGCGGCACTTTTTCCATCGCCGTATATAAGTTTTATGTTCAATCTAACCCTTGTTAGGGTAATTGTCTATTCATGTGCAGACATTAGAAACTGGATTCGCAACATTGAGCAGCATGCTTCTGTCAATGTCAACAAGATTCTGGTGGGGAACAAAGCTGATATGGATGAAAGCCAAAGGGTGTGTAATTTGTACATTTTCACTTGCAGGAAATGCTCTCCTTTTCTAACCTGGTGAAAGAGTGAGATGTGAATGTGATGAGTTTTAGAATCCTATTGGGATCAACATGACGGTGCTAAATTTGCACGCCCTATACCTAATCGTTTATTTTGCATGTGTTTGTGTGTGCGGACATGCCCAAGCTTTAATAATTATCTTTTTTTTTTAGGCTGTGCCGACGTCTAGGGGTCAAGCTCTTGCTGACGAGTATGGTATCAAGTTCTTTGAGACTGTAAGTAGTAATATGCCTTTGGTATTTTCACTGCATAAGCAATTTCGTTCTTTTCATAATGAAAAGAAAATGTTCTGCAGAGTGCAAAGACGAACCTGAACGTGGAGGAGGTCTTCTTTTCTATAGCCAGGGATATTAAACAGAGACTTGCAGAATCTGATGCCAGGGGCACTGAGGTATTTTCATGCTCTCAGAAGTGGGAATCCTTTTCTTTCCCCAACTCCTCTCAAATGTTGACGAACTCGTTTTGTTTCGATGGTTTCAGCCTCAGACACTTAGGATTAACGAACCAGACAGAGCCGATGGTCAAGCTGCACAACAGTCATCTTGCTGTGGTTAGTAGAACAAGAGAAGGTTCTGTTGGTCGTACTGATGTGGATTTGAGGCAAACCTTGATAACTCCATAGTCGCCTCTCTTAGATCTCTCAACTACCAGCATTAGTAGTAAAAGTAGTTTTTTTTTTGCCCTTCGTAATTCTAAAATTTACAATGACACTTCTACCTGTCATTGTCTTTCGGGTCTAAGGGGCTTCTGCTTGTCATTTCCTCTGATGTAGATAGATAATCAGGTTCGAGCTTCTTGTCAAGAGAGGTTTAAAGTTCAAACAATGCCAATTACCTTTCTGCAGTAAACCCATCATTTGTCATTGTTTCTCCACATTCTTTGTGACATATACCGATACCGATTAGACGATTAAAGAACCGATCAAACGCCCAGGAAACTTTTCACAATTTATATAGTAACCCGGATTCGGATCTGGGGTGAGAGATCAGCTGATTTAGCAGGCTGCACACACAGGCAAAGTGACTTTTCTGGCAGCAGTGTCGAAGGGTGCAGCTGCTTTGAGTGAGCAACACCCTGTAATTTGCTGCCAATCTGAAAGGAAGTAAGAATGAAGCATATGTAGGCGATGCCAAATTGGCCACGAATTTGGCATAGGTAGCCGGCCCAACCACTTGCTTCCGAGTTTGATTCTCATTTTCTGTAAATTAGAGTAGTTTATATATATATTTTTTTGCAAAATAAATAAGATGTAAATGCAGATCCGGCACATATGGAAGATAAAAAGCAACATTTTTTTTAGTACGACAATATATTTTACACTAAGGGAAGGGGGTGTTGATGTCGTGAGCCTATAAAAAGGGGACTCATATGGAATTGGTTCAATGTCACCGTAACATACTGATTCAATGATATATGTTACCTTTAAGTTGTGGTGAATTGACCTATGTCAGTTGCTTTCTTATAAAAAGATGCAATCTTCAAGCATTGGTGAAGATTATATAGGAAAACAAAATACAACTCTGATCACTTAGTACTACAGTTTAATTTTATTCCTCTTCACTTTAAGTGAGAGGTTTTAGATTCAATTCTCACTAAAGCCAAATTTGAGCCACATTATTACTAGCTCATTGTGAAGCTAAACCCAACCCATACTATCGTTTGTTAAAAAATAAAAATACAACTCTCATTTTTGTGTACTTCACAACATAAGAGATCTCCCCGTAGGCTCCTAAGTGAGCTTCTTATTCAAATTGAAAATTATTATTAGCACTCTAAAATTCGACTTTCAATATGTCTCTTCTAAATGTAAGGTAACTTAGAATATCATCTTGTTTAAAAAAAAAAAAAAAAACTGTAAATAAGAAATAAGATTGGGCCTCTCTCCCGGACCCCCACCCACAATAAAAAAAACCCAAAACCCACTTTCCATATATCCCAAGTTAAGCTTCCATTTTCGGGCTCGTCACTTTCCCGTTAGCTATCTTTCAGTTCTATAGCTTTGGCGCCATGGCAGTTACAGCAAAAACTGCACTCGAAGTCACTGACATCATCACACTCGCTCTTCGAATTCGAACCTACACCGATTCGATCCATGCATTCCATCCTCCCAGCTTTTCTTTTTTTCCCACCCAATCAGATTCCATCAGCAGCAGATTTTGGCGATGCACGTCTTCCTCGAGACCCCGAGCTTCCTCGTTCTTCCTCACCGCCATGGATTCGATTCGGGGACGCAAATTCCCCTTCCCAATCTGAAGGCGTCGAGGCGGAAAGCAATCGGAGGACCTTCCAGAATTCTGATGGATATAGAACTCGTGAACAGTTAGCTGGCAAACTCTTTCTCTTTTTCTTCTCTCTAATTTTACAGTTTACTGATATATGTATGTATGTAAGTATGTATGTATGTGTGTATGTTATGTATGTATGTGTGTATATGTGTGCTTTACAGATAACATTAATGTGTTTACATTTTTTTTTAATTTAATTATAAATTTACGGTTTCCTACCATTTCAACCGTTGAGAGGAAAAATAGGAAGAGGATCAGGAAATAGTGGGGGAAAAAAGATAGGAATTTTAGTTATTTTTTTTGTTATAAAAATATGTGTTGAAATCCCACACGGACTCTCATTAACTGAACCAGAGTTTGGATAGGAGGAAGACACCTTCAACGTGGGTATTTCATTTCTTCCGATTTCTTCTATTTTTTGGTGAAAATTTTGAATTGTTTTCAATTTAATGGTTATATATCTGTTTGATCACTTTCTTTAATTAAGTTTATGCATTCATAATCTGGTGTGTATTATGAATGGATTAAGGTGTGATAATATGTATAATTATTTGATTGTTATTTAATATATATATATATTTTTTATAGATTTGAAAGGGGTTTTGATTCATAGGACTGAAGAGTGAAGACATACAGGATTATGATTGAGGTTTAACATTCCGGCTAGGGGAGGTAAATTTCTGTTAAATTTAGATAAAAGTTGTGTGATTGGTAGATTGGGTTGGTAGATATGGCGTGGTTTAGAGCAGTGTCTAGTGTGGCAAAGCTTGCCATTAGGAGAAATTTATCAAATTGTGGATCATATATGGCTAGGAGTCGGGTTCTTCCGTCTCAAAATCGGGACTTTCACACCACATTATGTAAGGCTCAATCTGCCCCGATTCCACGCCCTGTACCCCTCTCTAGACTAAATGATAGTTTCTTGGATGGAACCAGTAGTGTTTATTTGGAGGGGCTTCAGAGGGATTGGGAAGCCGACCCAAATAGTGTTGATGAGTCCTGGGACAATTTCTTTAGGAATTTTGTAGGTCAGGCCTCTACCTCGCCCGGAGTTTCAGGCCAAACCATTCAAGAGAGTATGCGCTTGTTGTTGCTTGTGAGGGCATACCAGGTTAGTGGTCACATGAAAGCTCAGTTGGACCCTTTGGGTTTGGAAGAGAGAGATATCCCAGATGATTTGGACCCTGCTCTATATGGGTTCACAGAGGCTGATCTTGATAGGGAGTTCTTTTTAGGGGTCTGGAGGATGTCTGGGTTTTTGGCTGAGAACCGTCCCGTGCAGACCCTTAGGTCCATATTGACCCGGCTTGAGCAGGCTTATTGTGGGACCATTGGGTACGAGTATATGCACATTGCCGATCGTAATCGATGTAACTGGTTGAGAGACAAGATTGAGACTCCAACGCCAATGCAGTACAATAGGCAACGTCGTGAGGTTATTCTTGATAGACTTATGTGGAGTACACAGTTTGAGAACTTCTTGGCCACTAAGTGGAAAGCAGCTAAGAGGTTCGGCCTTGAAGGTGGAGAAACTCTTATTCCCGGCATGAAGGAGATGTTTGACAGGGCTGCTGATCTCGGGGTTGAGGGCATAGTTATTGGAATGCCTCACAGAGGGAGACTAAATGTATTGGGTAATGTGGTGCGGAAGCCTTTGCGTCAGATATTTAATGAATTCAGTGGTGGTACAAAGCCTGTGGATGAAGATGGGCTATACACTGGGACTGGTGATGTCAAGTATCACTTGGGAACCTCTTATGATAGACCCACTAGAGGTGGCAAGAGACTTCATTTATCTTTGGTTGCAAATCCAAGTCACTTGGAAGCTGTGGACCCTGTGGTTGTCGGAAAAACTAGAGCAAAGCAGTTTTATTCAAATGACGTGGACAGGACCAAGAATATGGGTGTCTTGATTCATGGAGATGGCAGCTTTGCTGGACAAGGTGTGGTGTACGAGACTCTGCATCTAAGCGCTCTTCCTAACTACACCACTGGTGGGACTATACACATTGTGGTGAATAACCAAGTTGCCTTCACAACTGACCCAATGTCTGGAAGATCTTCAGAGTATTGTACAGATGTCGCCAAAGCATTGAATGCTCCTATTTTCCATGTAAATGCTGATGACATGGAGGCAGTCGCTCATGTCTGCGAGCTTGCTGCTGAATGGCGCCAGACATTCCATTCTGATGTTGTGGTTGATTTAGTGTGCTATCGTCGATTTGGGCATAATGAGATGGATGAACCATCTTTCACGCAGCCGGAAATGTACAAGGTTAGACCTTTACATATTCATTAAGAATTCATATCCTTAATTGATCGAAAATAAATATATATATTTTTCTTGTGATAAATCTGAAAGTTGTTGTAGTTGACTGACTTCACTTGTGTTGTAAATATTGAATTATAGTGCAGCTATTGAGATGTGCAAAGCTGATCACTGAATTTTTTTACTTAATTGGGGGTTACAGGTTATTCGAAATCATCCCCCAGCTCTGACAATCTACCAGAACAAACTTCTAGAATCTGCACAAGTGACCAAAGAAGACATTGAAAGGATACAAAACAAGGTTAATTCAATTCTCAATGAAGAATTGTTGGCTAGCAAGGATTATGTTCCTCAAAAAAGAGACTGGCTTGCATCCCATTGGTCTGGATTTAAGTCACCTGAACAAATTTCTCGTATCCAGAATACTGGGTATAGCGCTGTTTTCTACCAGTTTCACCAGTTCTTTGCAAAATCTGATTTTATTCAATTTAATGAATTTTATATGCTCCTGTACAGGGTAAAACCAGAGATTTTGAAGAGTGTTGGCAAATCAGTCACAGCCCTTCCAGAAACTTTTAAGGCTCACAAAGGAGTAAAGAAGGTCTATGAACAACGCGCACAAATGATTGAGACTGGTGAAGGAATTGATTGGGCAGTTGCAGAAGCACTTGCCTTTGCTACATTAATTGTAGAAGGTAACCATGTTCGACTGAGTGGTCAGGATGTTGAAAGAGGTACATTTAGTCATCGTCATTCAGTAGTTCACGACCAGGAAACTGGAGAAAAGTATTGCCCTCTTGACAATATTATGGCGGACCAAGATGAGGAACTGTTTACAGTTAGCAACAGGTAACGAGTGATTACTTTATAGTTTTCCCTTTCATTATTATTTGGTTTGATTTTGTCCCATTTCTCGAGTTCCCCCCTCCCCCCCCTTAATGTAGTGATCCAGAACTTTTTGTAAGATTTATTAGCAGTCCCTTGTATACTATAATTAAGGACTTGTTTAACCACGAGTCTGACAGACCCTCTCCAGTAGCTATTTCATGCACGACATTCCATTTAATATCCATTTTGAATTCATTACACCATAAGATACTTCTCTCATCTGTGAATGCATTCCACGTCTTTTGATTCCTTGAAACTTGATTTTCCATGGTGTACCAAATCAGCTTTCCCATTTTGTTTTTGATCCTAGCATATATACCTCCCAATAAAGTACATCTGTACACCGTCTTAAAGATTGTAGGACTGCCAGATAGCACCATATGACTCATGAGACGATGAATAGTACTCTGTTAAATTGCAATTTTCATACTTAGTTTGTCTTTACCACAAGTTAATTGTGCTTTTATGTGCAGTTCACTCTCGGAGTTTGGTGTTCTTGGATTTGAATTGGGTTACTCGATGGAAAGTCCAAACTCATTAGTAATCTGGGAAGCTCAGTTTGGTGATTTTTCCAATGGAGCTCAAGTTATATTTGATCAGTTTTTGAGTGGTGGGGAGTCCAAGTGGCTTCGTCAAACCGGGCTTGTTGTGTTGCTTCCTCATGGTTACATGGGCCAGGGCCCTGAACATTCTAGTGCACGACTGGAACGATTTCTTCAGGTATTCCTTTGTCAAATATGGTTAATCCCTTCCCCTCCCTCTTCTTCCCCTTTCCCATAGACAGCAGTATAATCTGGCATGGATCCCCATCTAATGCAAAGTTTTCTAATTTTATGACAGATGAGTGATGACAATCCCTTTGTCATACCTGAGATGGATTCCACACATCGGAAGCAAATTCAGGAATGCAATTGGCAGGTTGTGAATTTGACAACTCCTGCAAACTACTTCCATGTTCTGCGTCGTCAGGCGAGTGAAACTATTTTGTTCTTCAATATTTTGTAGTATTGTGGAAGTTTCTATATGTCTAACCTTGTCTCATTTCTCAGATACACAGGGAATTCCGCAAGCCTCTTATTGTGATGGCTCCTAAAAACCTTCTACGGCACAAGGACTGCAAATCAAATTTATCCGAGTTCGATGATGTGCAAGGCCACCCAGGTTTTGACAAGCAGGGGACCAGATTTAAGCGCCTCATCAAGGACCAGAATCACCACTCTGATCTTGAGGAGGGTATTAGACGGCTGGTTCTATGCTCCGGCAAGGTATAGTTTTACCAGTAAAGTAATCTTTTGTCTTCGATTCAGTAGAGCTTGGAGTATGAAAAGCGAAATCTGGCAGAAATAGATCATATAATTCTGTGTTGACTTGTAGATAAATAATGACTTATTACCTGAACCAAGGGACAAAAGTTAATTCTATCTTCTGCCTTGTATTCTCTTGCAGCTTTATTATGAACTTGATGGAGAGCGAATAAAGGTTGGAGCAAAGGATGTTGCGATTTGTAGAGTGGAACAGCTTTGCCCCTTCCCTTACGACCTCATCCAGCGAGAGCTGAAACGATATCCAAGTATGTACCTTGAACTTTTCCTTTGAAAAGCAAGTACTGTACAATATTAATAGAGATGCCCAAGCTTGCTCTCTTCCCATTTGTCAAGATACTAGCCTGTTTGCCTAAGATATATTATTTTATAGGGTTTATGAAAATTGGATTCCTTTATTGTGTCCTAATACTTAGATCATTAATGTCAGAGGCATAAAAAAATTTCAATCATTCTAAACTAACTCCTCTGTAGAATATGAAGTGTGGTCATATTGTCATGTGAGTCCACCTGTGAAAGGGGTTTAGCTTTTCAGGTCATCTTATGATTGAAGAATGTTTTTGGAGATATATGAAACATCAACACATACTAGTGGGAAATGTTGAAAAAGATCATATAGAACTAGCTGTGGCTTTGTGAAATCCGGTGATACGGTTTTTATTGTTTTCTGTTCTGGGGGGATCAATTTTGCTGACATCGTGAGGTTGATACACTTGTTATTTGGTTCTTTCAGATGCTGAGATAGTTTGGTGTCAGGAAGAGCCGATGAACATGGGTGCGTACAGCTACATTGCACCCCGCCTTAGTGCCGCCATGAAGTCCCTGGGCAGAGGAACTATTGACGATGTCAAATACATTGGCCGTGATCCATCAGCTGCCACAGCCACTGGTTTTTCTCAGGTTCATGATATGGAACAAAACGAGATTTTACAGAAAGCGATGCAGTAGGAGCCAAATGAGTCTCACAACTGAATCCCGTCGTGCTTGTTGATCCTCATATAACACTGTCTGAAATCTCCTTTCCTGATTTTTTTGTGGATCCAAATTTTAATAAAAGATCGAACGTATATCAAATATGCCTCCTGTATGTGAGGGCTGATGCACACCACAGGTTATGCTTCACAAATCTCTCTTCTTTTAGCAAACAGAGATCAGAAATAAGAACCTTTCCTTGGCGCAGATGTTTCAAAGTATCGAATGGAATGTACTTGCCTCGTTACATGTAAGTTGTCTTTCCTCCTTACCCGCGAACTACATATATCATATATGTGCCAACTTCTAATTTGCAGTTAAGGAGAAATGACTCGCCTAATTGTAAGGAGCTAAGCAGTGCTGTATTAAATTATGCAACTACTTTGAGACCACCTAGGCTCTTTGAAATTCAACCGAACAAGAATATATCTTGCTGGCCAAAACAATGGTCAGCCTATATTTATCGCAAAACTGATTTTCGCACTCTTACTTTGTTGTATTGCACCTCTTTATTTGTTTTTACATCTTGATTCTTTATTTCTTGTTTCATCAAAATTTACATACAACGAGTTTACTATTACTACGTCATCTCAATTCAATAATACAATGTTATGCGTAAGATTTTCCTCTTCCTCGTGATCACCGTAAACCCTAAATCCTAGGGTTAGGCCAGATTTGGACCTCTACCCGACCCACCCACAATCAGGTAGAGTAGACCTCTACTCGACAGGGAGTTCTTTTTGGGGGTCTGGAGGATGGCTGGGTTTTTGTCTGAGAACCGTCCTGTGCGACCCTTAGGTCCATTTTGACCCGGCTTGAGCAGGCTTACTGTGGGACCATTGGGTATGAATATATGCATATTGCAGATCGTGAGAGATGTAACTGGTTAAGAGACAAGATTGAGACTCCTACGCCCATGCAATACAATAGGCAGCGCCGTGAGGTTTCTTGATAGGCTTATTTGGAGTACACAGTTTGAGTACTTCTTGGCTACTAAGTGGACAACAGCAAAGAGGTTCGGACTTGAAGGTGGAGAAACTCTTATTCCTGGCATGAAGGTGATGTTTGATAGGGCTGCTGATCTCGGGGTTGAGAGCATAGTAATTGGAATGCCCCACAGAGGCAGACTGAACGTATTGGGTAATGTGGTGCGGAAGCCTTTGCGTCAGATATTTAGTGAATTCAGTGGTGGCACAAAGCCTGTGGATGAAGTGGGGCTTTACACTGGGACTGGTGATGTAAAGTATCATTTGGGAACCTCTTATGATCGACCCTCAAGAGGTGGGAAGAGAATTCATTTATTTGGTTGCAAATCCAAGTCACTTGAAGCTGTGGACCCTGTGGTTGTCGGAAAAACTAGAGCAAAGCAGTATTATTCAAATGATGTGGACAGGACCAAGAATATGGGCATTTTGATTCATGGAGACGGTAGCTTTGCTGGACAAGGTGTGGTCTATGAGACTCTGCATTTAAGTGCTCTTCCGAACTATACCACTGGTGGGACTATACAGATTGTGGTGAACAACCAAGTTGCCTTCACAACTGACCCAATGTCGGGAAGATCTTCTCAGTATTGTACTGATGTTGCCAAAGCATTGAATGCCCCTATTTTCCATGTAAATGGTGATGACATGGAGGCAGTCGTTCATGTCTGTGAGCTTGCCGCTGAATGGTGGCAGACCTTCCATTCTGATGTTGTGGTGGATTTAGTGTGCTATCGTCGATTTGGGCATAATGAGATTGACGAGCCATCTTTCACACAGCCCAAAATGTACAAGGTTAGACCTTGTTTCTAGTTAATTAATATTTTTATTATGTTCATTTATTGAAGAAATTTGTATCTTTTTCTCATGATAAGTCTCAAAGTTCTTTCTTTATCGTGTCCTGCATTATTATAAAGTGCAGCTATTGAGATGTGCAAAGCCGACTCCTGATTTTTCTACCTAATACTGGGTACACAGGTTATTCGGAATCATCCCTCAGCTCTAACAATCTACCAGAACAAACTTCTAGAGTCTGGACAAGTGACCAAAGAAGACATTGAAGGGATACAAAACAGGGTTAATTCAATTCTCAATGAAGAGTTCTTGTCTAGCAAGGATTATGTTCATCAAAGAAGGGACTGGTTTCATCTCATTGGTCTGGATTCAAGTCACCTGAGCAGATTTCTCGTATCCGGAATACTGGGTAAAACACTATCTTATATCAGTTTCATCTGTTATTCGCAATATCTGATTGTATTTTTTAATGAATTCTTTATGCTCCTGTGCAGGGTAAAACCAGAGATTTTGAAGAGTGTTGGCAAAGCTGTCGCTGCCCTTCCAAACACTTTTAAACCTCCCAGAGCAGTAAAGAAGGTGTATGAACAACGTGGACAAATGATTGAGACCGGTGAAGGGATTGATTGGGCGGTTGCTGAAGCACTTGCCTTTGCTACACTACTAGTAGAAGGTAACCATGTTCGACTGAGTGGTCAGGATGTTGAAAGAGTTACATTTAGTCATCGGCATTCTGTTCTTCATGACCAGGAAACTGGGGAAAAGTATTGTCCTTTTGACCATATTACAGCTGGCCAAGATGAGGAAATGTTTAAAGTTAACAGATACCAATTTTCTTGCTTAAGAAACGTTTTGGTTATATGGAATGCATGAAAGGGTTATTAGTCACACATAAATAACTACCTTGATCAATTTATTTTTCCTATGTACTCCTTTTGTAGATATCAAGTAAGTTATATTCTCTGCGGTTTTTTAGTTCTCTGCATCTGGTAAACTTTCTTCTCGTTCTGCAGTACACAGTTTTTGGTTCAATAATGACAATCGGAGGAGTGGTTGGTGGATTGGTAAATGGCAGGATAACGTATCTCATTGGTCGTAAACGTGCCTGTCAGCCTAGTGCAGATTTTGATTTATATTTTCTGGACTTTTTTCATTCTTTAATGATATCTGCATCTTCTTTTTGGATTGGTTCTTATTGTTTTTTTTTTTCTTTCAAATTTGTATGTGTCAACTATACATGTGAGCTTGGGCATCAATAGAGTCTTGACTCTTGCTCCTCTTAGCTGATTCATTGACCAGTGATATCACCCACTCTAGGGTGGTTGAGGAAGTACTTTGGCTATGTTGATTTAACTTTTAGTTTTAGTTCTATGTGATTTTGGTCTTTTGTTGGATAGCACAGAAATTCCTATTCTAGGATGGGTTGATTTTGCTTTTGGTCTTATGTCCTTGTGCATTTGGTCTTTTGGTGGATAGCTGAACATATTAAAATTTATTACATATCTATTCGAACTCCAATAAATAAATGTTATCAATTTACCTCTTGCATTCATTCCGTAAGTAAACTCCGCCTGTGTAAGTTTATCTTACATTGCCGGTCCCAAGCCTGGGTAAGGGAGGAGGGGGAGGGCGTCAGGTAGTCGACAGCCGGCACTCTTCAGTTACGTCGAATCCTTATGAAAATGAATCTAGAACGAAATCGCGCTAAAGCTAGGGCGTCACCCGTAAGTGGCGCGCTGTGTGGCCCGAGCACAATGATAAGTGAGCAAGGGTCGCTGTATCTCCATCGGCACCCGGATGCAGTGTTAAATGAGCAGGGGGCCATAGAAACTTCTTTTCGAACGACTCAACTCAAAGTTGTTTGGGAGCATATGCTCCTATCAACTTTACACACGACACGCAAAAGAAGTACTTTGATCCTATTGGACGGGGGAGGGTGAAGAAGCTAGGACAGAAGGGGTAGAGTTCAAGAGAGTAGAATGCGTTTAGGAACGTGGAATATAGGAACCTTAACGGGAAAATCTATGGAAGTAGTGGAAGTTATGGTGAGGAGAAGGATAAATATTATGTGCCTACAAGAAACTAAGTGGGTTGGTCTTAAGGCAAATGATCTAGAAAACTCAGGGTTTAAACTTTGGTATTCGGGCACAAATAGAATGAGAAACGTTGTTGGCATCATCGTGGACAAGACATTGACATAAGATGTTGTAGATGTCAAAATGGTAGGAGATAGAATCATGGCAATCAAGATTGTAATAGGACAAGAACTCATCAATGTAATTAGTGCGTACGCACCTCAAGTAGGGTTGGATACGAGTTCGAAGGAGAAATTTTGGGAAGACCTTGGAGACTTGGTGCAAGGAATTGCCCAGACGGAGAAGTTATTTATAGGAGGAGATTTAAATGGACACGTGGGCAGGGAGACAGGCAACTATGGAGGTTTTCATGGTGGCCATGGTTTTGGGGAGAGAAACGAGGATGGGGAAGCTATCTTGGATTTTGCAATGGCATATGATCTCTTCTTAGCCAACACCTTCTTTAAGAAGAGAGAAGAACATGTGATCACCTACAAGAGTGGGTCGTCAAAAACACAAATAGATTTTCTTCTAATGAGGAAAGGGGATCGTATAACTTGTAAGGATTGCAAAGTTATACCGGGAGAGAGCTTGGCTAATCAACATCGCTTGTTGGTGATGGATGTACATATCAAAAGAGTGAGAAAAAAAGAACAAGACTTGGAAGTGCCCAAGGACTAGATGGTGGAATCTAAAAGGAGAAAAACAAGCCATTTTCAAAGAGAAAGTAATCACCCAGTGTGGGTGGGATAGAGAGGGGGAAGCTAGCCAAAGGTGGGATTTCATGGCTAGTTGTATCCGAAAAGTAGCAAAAGAGGTATTAGGAGAGTCCAAGGGCTTTGCTCCACACCAAAAGGAATCTTGGTGGTGGAATGAAGGATGGTACAAACAAAGGTGAAGGCTAAGAAGGAATGTTGTAAAGCCTTATACAAGGACAGGAGACCGATGAAAATGGTGAAAGGTATAGAAGAGCGAAGCAAGAGGCGAAGAAAGCTGTGAGAGAAGCTAAGTTAGCGGCTTATGACGACATGTATAAGCGCGACTAGATACCAAAGAAGGAGAGTTGGATATCTATATAACTAGCTAGAGCAAGGGAAAAGAAGACAAGGGACCTAAACCAAGTGAGGTGCATCAAGGATGAGGATGGAAAGTTCTTGCTACAGAGAATGCGGTCAAAGACAGATGGAGAGGTTATTTTCATAATCTTTTCAATGAAGGACATGAAAGGAGTACTTCTTTAGGGGAGTTGAGTAACTCAGAAGAGTGTAGAAACTACTCATTTTATCGTCGAATCAGGAAGGAAGAAGTGGTTGTAGCTTTGAAAGAAGATGAAGCATAGAAAAGCAGTGGGCCCAGACGATATATCCGATCGAAGTGTGGAAAGTCTTGGGAGAGAGACAG